TGGATTGAGAAGAGAGATAGAAATTTCAATGAGGATGTTTAAGCCACAGACTCTTTATGATGCTTATGCTTTAGCCCGGCTACAAGAGTCTTTTATTCAGGAGGCACAAAAGTTAGCTTTAACATGTAAACTTCAACCCAAACCAACTGCACCCTTATTACCTACACCAAACACTTCTCCTCGGACACCTAATGCTACTACAAAAACATTCACTTCTACCAACTCTACCAAATTACCTTACCCAAACACTAGACCATCAAACACCTCTCCCAAACATATTAAGCCCCTTACCAGACAGGAGATGGAGGAGCGAAGGCGAAAAGGATTATGCTATTGGTGTGATGAAAAATTCACCAATGGTCACAAATGCAAAAATATGCAGTTGTTTTCCATTGAAGTTGTTGAGGGTGATGAAGGAGAAGAAGGGGAAGTCTTTGAGGAAGCCACAGAAGAACTTCCAGATGACTCCAATCCACACATGTCTGTTCATGCATTATCTGGAGGTAGCAGTGGAGCTTACCGTACAATGAGGGTAACTGGATATGTGAATAAGAAACCTATTCACATACTCATTGATTCTGGGAGTACTCATAATTTTTTAGATGTTAATGTGGCAAAAAGGGTTGGCTGTAAGTTACAAGCTGTTGAGGCTTTGAAAGTTGATGTAGTTGATGGAAGTTCACTGGAATGTGTCCATATGTGCCAAGATTTTACTTGGTGGTTACAAGGTAAACCATTTCATACGGATACATTAATTTTACCTCTTGGTAGTTGTGATATGGTGTTGGGAATTCAATGGCTAGAGACCTTGGGTGACATTTTGTGGAATTTTAAGACTTTACGCATGGAGTTTGCTGTCAATGGACAAAAGTATGTACTTAGGGGATCCTCTCAGGTGTCTTTAAAGATGGTTGGCAGTAAAGGAATGGTGAGATTGCTTAAAAAAGAAGGATAGGCCAGCTCAATTCATTTATGTAGTCTGATTGTTGATGCTGTCGGAGGATGTGGCACTTGGCAAACTGAAGAAAATAAAGCTGAAAACGCTTCCAAGAAGGTTTCAACTTGTTCTGAATTGGAGAAATTATTATTAGAGTATGTTGATCTCTTTGCAGAACCTAAAGGCCTTCCTCCCCACAGAGCTCATGATCATAAAATTTGTTTAAAGGCGGGAACTAATCCTATTAATCAAAGGCCATACAGATATGCAGGAGTACAGAAGGATGTCATTGAAAAGATGACTCAAGAATTGTTACAAACGGGTATCATCCAGCACAGTGTAAGTTCTTTTGCTTCACCTGTAGTTCTAGTTAAGAAGAAAGATGGGTCTTGGCGCATGTGCATAGATTACAGAACTCTAAATAAGCAGACTGTGAAGGATAAATATCCCATACCCCTCATTGAAGAGCTGTTAGATGAGTTGCAAGGATCAAAATTTTTTTCTAAGATTGATCTTAGATCGGGATACCATCAAATTAGAATGTATCCACCAGATGTTCCAAAAACAGCTTTCAAAACTCATGAAGGGCATTATGAATATTTAGTCATGCCATTTGGTCTCACCAATGCACCTTCTACTTTTCAATCTCTTATGAATGATATTTTCAGAGTTTACCTTCGAAAATTTGTCTTGGTATTCTTTGATGATATCCTTGTTTACAGTAAGAGCTTGGAAGAGCATATCTACCATTTGAGACAGGTATTTAAGTTGTTGAGAGATAATGAGCTATTTGCGAAGCAAAGCAAATGTTTCTTTGGTTGTGACAGGATAGAATATCTTGGGCACTATATCTCTGAAGGAGTTTCTACTGATCCTAAGAAGATTTTAGCTATTCAGCAATGGCCTCAACCGAAGACTGTTAAGGAATTGAGGGGATTTCTCGATTTGATAGGATATTATCGAAGGTTTATTCGGAATTATGGGAGTTTGAGTAAACCTTTGACAGAATTGCTAAAAAAAGAAGGGTTTCATTGGTCAAGGGAGGCTAGTGAAGCTTTTGAATGGTTAATACCCTTTTTGGTCCCTCTACTATAGGAAAAAGCCCTTTTTTAGTCCTTATACCGAAAAAATTCCCTTTTTGATCCTTACTGTTCACAAATCCAGCCCCTTTTTGGTCCCTCCGTTAAATTTTGGCTTACGTGGCATGTTAACTAACGGAAATTTTTTTTTTTTTACTTAAATTACGTGTGAAATCCATTTGGCAAAACTTGATGACATGGCCAAATTTTT